CTGCCTCACTAATACGTGAGCTCTTTGCAGGTAGAAAATTTGTCTTCCTTATTAGTCTTTGCATACCCAACATCCAGCACAGACCAGACACTAAATATGTTTAGAGAAGGAAGACAGAAATAAGGGGATGGGGAACACGAGGACAAATAAGGGGTGGTGGTGGTCATGGATCCTCAAGTGAATCAGACATTGCATTGGAAACCAATTGTTTCTAATGCCATTAAGTACACTGAATGTGAACACATGCAGATACAGACATGCACTGAGAGACTGGCATAAATATAGATACATACAGACAAACAAACACAAACACCAGTTAGGTCCGAAGACAAGCAGGACCTTGGGAGCCAGTGGCTGATTCTTCCTTAGACAGGAAGATCCAGAAACTTACTTAATACCTGAAGCAGATCTTTTCTCTCTCTGCTGGCTTGACCATTTCTGGCCGTAGATGACCCTTGCATTCTGCCTACCACTTTGTAGGGCCCAGATCCTGCCTAGACTAACAGCAGCTTTGGACTCCTGATCATACTTCCTGGCTCTGTTTTTGCCCCCAGGTCCTGCACACTGTACTGCACTGTAACCTTTCGCTCCTAATATTCTCCTTGATCTCTGACCTGGCTCATGGGCCTTCTCTCAGCTCCTACCTCCTTGGCTCAGTGTTCCTCCCCTCCTCTACTTCTTATGCACACAGACACATCTAAATACAGAAAGGCACAAAATGATGTATGTACACACACACAAAGAAACAAACACAAAGGCACATATAGACATATACACATATATAGACACACACACACACAGAAGCCTTACAAGTACAACTAACCCCTGCCATTAACAGGATTGCCATCCAGAATAGACAAAGCAGACTCACCAACAAAGAGGGGAGGAAGGAAAACAACAGTCTGCTTAGTGAGAAAGAATTTCCCTATCTGTCAAAGCAAACCACCATCTGGGTTTTCCTGGAAACATGAGTGGAACCATCTGGGGGAGCTGCTGCTTCACCCTGTATCTGGCTAAGGCACTAGGACAGATTGCAAACGATGCTTACTCCCTCTGATGTGTAGCTCAGTTTGTCTAGCAACCGGTACCTTTCCCTGAGTGCTGGCTGACAATGTGTCTTCGGCTACACCAGCACATGTTAGATTACCTCACCCCTATTCCTCTTGAAACTCCCACAGTCTCCTGTGCACACCACCATTACAGCCCTGAAGATGTGCTGTTGTCATTGCCATTTTACATATCTGCCTCTCTCACTAGCCTAAGGGCTTATGAATGGCAAAGAGTGTCTTATTTTCATCTCTCTTCTATTCTACAGATGAGGAAAGTGAGCCTCCGAATTACTTGGCCTTATAGCTAGTACATTGCCAAGCTTGCATCTGAACTCAGGTCAGACTCCACAGCTCATGCTTAGACTTTTTAAAGTCAATTTCCAGATACTTTATTCTAAGAAACTCACAAAATGCCAGGAAGCCCTCCTAGAAGTTAGGGCTGAATGCCTGAGGAAGGCCACAGAACTTGGACTCACTGGGGTTGTAGCCTGGAAGCTGACTATGAGGCAACCCTGGTGAGTGAATGCTACAGCCATCCATAAGTATGGATGGTTAAATTAAGTATTTACAAGGAAAAATGGGGATAGGTCATTTCCCTAGCCTAAAGAGCACGTTTTCTCTGAAGGATGATCTCTCATGGTATCAGTCGTCTCTGTTCTGTCCAAAGGGTCTGAGCAGACTTCAATCTGTGCTTTGTCTGAATTAAGGGCAGGGGGTCAGAATGTTCCACAAGGCAGGAGATAAGATGGTGACTGCACCAGGAGATAGGCAGGGAGCTAGAAGGCAAAAAAACAGGGAAGTGACTCCAAACTGTAACAGTCCTTTAGGTCAAAGAAGAGTTATTGCAGCAGCAGAAATGTATACATCGAAACCCATGCTGAGGTTATTTGAATAATTGTGTGCAAGTTTTTTCTGCTCTACTTTTCATATAGTAAACTTAAAAAAGCAAAGCAAAACAAAACAAAGAAAACTCTAGGCTGTCAAAGCTGTTCAAAGAGGAAACAAGGAAAATCTATGTTCAGGGACCAAGGGGAGAACTCTGCTTCTGAGGGGCCAGCATTGTAGCACTACTAGATATCAGAGGAAGGCCCTGAGCACAAGGCAAACCCAGGAAAAATAAAACTGGGGCTAATTAGCCAGCTGCCTTTGATATCTCCCGTCATGGAGCTCCATATGATAAGGGTCAAGAATTGGATTCAGGTCCCTGGTGTGTGGGTGAGAGAGAATTACCACCTGGCTCTCCCTTAGCTTCCCCAGAAGTGACAACTATAAAAAATGAGAAAGAAGGGAGGTAGGAAGGGAGGGAGGGAGGGAGGAAGGGAGGGA